CATTTGTCTGGGTGACTAAAATATCAATCAGATCACACAGGAAGAGAAAAGAAAATGTTAGGCCATAATTTCCCATTAAACAATTTAAGAACTAGAGAATCCTTCCCAAGACAGAGGGATTTAATCTCCTTGCTCCCCTGCCATTAGATAGGTTCATCTCCTTATAGACTCAGAGTCTTCCTTTTAGCTGGATGAGTTTCCTGACCAAATTCACTAAATAAATGTATGGCAGTCTGTGGGACGGCAAAGCAGGAATGGGAGCCCACAGGCAGGCAAATGCAAGCCTGTTCATTCAGCCACAGCCCCTGCTGGAGCTCTCCTTTGCATCAGATTCAGAAACCAGAGTTTTGTCTCACCAAACAAGGCACTGAAGGTAAATCCCCACTAGGTCAGGCAACTGCTTGAGTACCACATGTGGAAGGAAACTCTATCTGAACACACATTTTCTTCCTCCATGCTCTGACAAATGCCAGCTCCAACACTAGTCAAGTTTCAGCACTTGAAGTCAGATGTTTTTATATCAATGCAGTTTCAGCATCCAAGGTTTTAGGTAAAGTAGCCATACAGCCTGTCCATTTGGCAAAACCTGCCTTTGTGTCAGGGTGAATAATACATCATGTGAATTCAGTGCCAAACAGGAAACCAGCTGGTTTCAAGGTAGGATATAATCATAATTTAACTCCTTCTTTATTAACTTAACACAGGGACCAGGTTAGGAAAGTTAAAGCACTGATAGAGTTAAATGTGGGCAGGGATCTCAAGGGCAACACAACAAGCTTCTACAGGTTTGTTGATGACAGAAAGAATGCTAGGAAAAATGTGGGCCCTCTGTGGAGAGAAACAGAAGAGCTGGTTACCAGGGACATGGAGAAGTTTGAGGTACTCAGGTATTTTTGCCTTGGCCTTCACTAGCAAGTGCTCAAGTTGAAACCTGCTTTAGGGGAAGATATCCCTGTCCATGGCTGGGGGGTTGGAAAATTATGAATTTTCAGGTCCCTTCCAACCCAGGCCATTCCATGAATCTAAATAGGCAAGTGTAATCTTGGACTGATGAGCTATAAAACACTGAATATTAAGATATTAAAGCAGTACCAATAGAACTCTAATTTTGCCCTTTAAAGCCATGAGAGAAAAACATCTCATTTGTTTTATTGTGCCCTTTAACAGATGTACCCAAGGGACACCCAGGGCAGCAGAAAGCTGCATTGGCAAAGTCAAATGATATGCAATCAGGTGCAGGATTCAGCCTCAATTCAATAAGTTTCACTCTGCCTTCCCCAACAACCATCCTCAAGAGAAGGAACAACATAATTGTACAAATTTGTTGGTAATATTGCAGGAGAAGGAGTTTCCCATTTTAGCAGCAAGGCTTCTGTAAGGATTGAAAATCAGAAAGTTGTTAAGGTAAATTTACATATCTTCTCCAAACGGGAAACCAGACCAAAATTCCCTCTATTATTACCTGTAAAGCTTGAAAGTATTTTAAGAAATTAATGCAAAAAGTTACAAGCAATAGAAGCAGTATTTTAAATTATTCATAGCTTTATTATTTTTAACATCAATTACTGTCACTCAGGCAATACTTCAAGTACATATATAGTATCAGTATCATACAAAAGTTATGCCACCAGATACTGAAATTGTTTTCAACAAATGTGGGGTGTCAGATTTTTTTCACAGCAAACACTGTGATGGCTTCCTCCACAAAATACTCAATTACCAAGCTGAAGCAATTTCAGTATTGTGGTACATCCACATAATCCTAAGGATATTAACCAAGTGATGCATCTATGTGAGAAGCTGTCTGGAACCCTTCCAGAGAGCCATGCAGACACTCCTGCCACTCCCTTTTATTGCAAGAAGCAGGGCAGCACCAAGGGCTGAAAACAAGCCAGGCCAACCCTTTGTCACACATATCTCAGCACTGTACTCCCCAGTGCACCAAGAAATACAGCAGACATTTCCTTTATTTTAATTTCTACTGAGTCAACCTGTATCTAGTCTACTGAGTCAACCTATTTTATGCCTTGAAAAAGTATTTGTACTGGCTGGGAAACGCACTGGGAGCACTAAAACTCTGTCCTTGCAACCTTGTATCTCAAATAACAAGCTGTTGTAATACCACCCTGAAATCTCACAATCAAACTTAAAATAATTCAGAATGGATTACTGTATTTTATGAGACAGTAATCAGGAGCTCCAATACACTAAAGCAGAGTAAATCCATTGTCAAAACAGAAAAACATGTTTACATAATATAAGGTCTGACCTTTTAAACAATTAAGGGTATTACTAAATCATCGTGGTGTAAGGAGCTCAATTTCAGACAATAGTATGAGTCATGAGTAAACTTGCTCTTTGCAAAACTTGCCTTAAGTAGGGCTGGAAGAGCTCAATTGCTTAACTCTTTCCATTGAAGAGATATAAAAATGTCTCTTGAGAAACCAACAGACCTTGGAAACTCAGTGGAGAGAAACATGAAATAAATATATTTAAAAATACATTAAAACTGAAAACTTAAGAAAGACAAGGAGTAAGTTATCTGCTCAGTATTTCTTACACAACCCCAACCTACTCAAATGCTTCTTAGTCATCTATAACTAGAAATACCAGAAGTGAACTTTCTTTTCAAGGCATTCATACACCAATTTATTAATCTGAAAACACCTCTCCAAAACAACAGTTTATTTTTTCTCATTTCATGAGAGAGGTGAGTAATACCAATTTGATCAATACTGACTGCAACCCTGGGTCTCTCTTGCCCCAGAAACAAACTTCCACTGCTGGAATGTGCTACATTTTGATCCCTCCCCACTTTCAATTCCAGTTACAGGGGTAATGAGTCAGCAGATCGAACCAGTGAGACAACTCTGACAACTACAATAAAAACTGAAATTGAAATTTAAAACTGGGAGCAAGCAACAGGCCTTGCAGTTCAGTATCTTGACGTCATAAGCAAGGACCAAAAAAGAAAGTCTGGTATCAGCTGAATACTAGCACAACTCTTTCTGTTCCCCAAATTGAAAGCTTTGGTTTAAACAACAAATCCATGGGTAAAAAAAATACTGTGCCATGTAAGAGATTTAAACAAATACATAAGCAAAATCAAGGGTAAAGGTGAAAGAGTCAGGATATTCCCAGGAACAGATAGCACATATCACACTACAAAGCTAGAAAACTCTTTGGGGTTACCAGCCAGATCCAGGAGAACCCTGAATTTGTGGTACCTAAGAAATTACAGTCTAATTCACATGAACATCTGCAACTTTTCTGCAATACAGCCTCAAAACATTACACTTCCTCATACTAAAGCAACATAACTTGCTCATTTGGCAGATCCCAGACCACATGTAGATTGCAATTAAATTTTGTTCACACCAGGGAGAAGACCAACATCTGGTTTACACATGATCTTATCCCTCTTGTAACAAACCCACCTCACCACAACTCCTTGCCATAAAGGCACTGTGCAATTCCGGGCCAAGCACATCTCTGTAAAAGCCTACAGAGATTCACCACAGAAATGCTGGTTTTACTATGAACCAAGAAAATGGAGATGCGTGTGAAATCACTGGAAAAAAACGACAGAACAAGGGTTAAAAGAATGACCTGTACTGATAACAAGTAATCCTGTTAGGAGCAATGTTCTGGGAAAAGTAAAACTGATGAATGGCTGGTTTATATCAAGATCAGAAGGCCTGCCCTCTGTAAAATCACACCTCAGTGACTCATCCTGCCTTCCTAACATCAGGAGGATGGAAAGTTGGAGCATATCAAACGTACCATTCCTTTTACTGCATGACCAACAGGAAACACACATGTATTTGAAAACAAAACCAAAACCAACCAGACATCAAACATGAACTTCACTTAAGATTTACAGAGACTGCAGGCTCTTTCTTGCATCCAAGGACCATCTATATGTAAAGCTGAATATCATGAAAGATCTGTCCAAAGGACAGTGCATCATCACCAACAAAAACAACCTCACAGACATGATGAGCATCTGACACCCAGCATCTCTTGCACTGCACAAAGGGATCCTGGCCAGACCAAATACAAACACAGCTTGCTGTTTGGAAATCAGTACTCTGATATCTCTGTACAATTAGTGAATTAAGTGTATGAGAGAATGAGTGGAAGCAGGTAAAATCAACATCACTTTCCTCTTCCATGACATCCTGCACTGAATTTCATTACATTAGATCTTTTACAAGTCATCTTCCAAATCAGAGTAAATGGTAAAAAATAAAAAAAATAAAAAATTCATAATTAAACTGTGAATTATTTTCAAGTTTTTAATGCATAATTGAATGATTGGTATAAATTAAGTCAGCAAAATTAATTTTTCTGCTCTTTCAACTGTACATTTAATTCACTGTTGTAAAGAGCTCAACAAAGCAGACCAGTATTATCTTATTTCTAGCAAGTAACCGTTGCTTTGCTAGAAGCTAACCAAAATTTCTGTTTTGAAGACCACTGCATTATTTGCTTAAGGACAAGATGTTCTTTTTCCAAAAGACAGCTAGAGACCCAAGGAAAACACTAACAGAAACTAACTAAACCACAGAGAGCAAAGACTCTCTCTTTTGGGTACGTATTATACAGGGTTTTTTTTACTGGCAGAAAATTTGTTTCAATTCTTACTTTCTACTTAAATACAAGGATTCTGTTTGTGCTATAGAAACAACATTTGTCTGTACATTAATTAACACTCAACTGAGAATACAAAATTTGGTTTTTTGCAGAGCACAAGTAATCAGTGCAGTAAGGAGTTTTCAGCTAGAAGACTACAGACTAAAAGCTATTGGCTTAGGACTATAGACTTAGCTATAGACTAAAAGCTATTTCATGTCACTAAATACTTATTTACCTATGGAAGAAAAGTTTCAAGCAATTCATTATCATACAATGCTAACAAGTAATGCATAAGTATTTTATATTTGTTATATTAACACATAAACACAACAGGCCATCATAAAAACAAATAGAAATCTTACCTTTTTCTGGTACCATACTATAGCATCAGTTACTTTGGACGCCATTTATTCCACTGAATTCACAGAGTCATTTTAGGCTGTTAACAGAAAGAGACAGAACTTTACTTCCACTTCCCTACGAGGGCCAAGCAGGGAGTGCAGAAACACTCCTGTTACCTGCAAATCACTGAGCAGCTGTATTTACTTTACACATTGCCTCATCTCTGTTTCACTAAGAGTTTGGGCTTTCTCCTCTAGGCAAACAAAAAAAAACCTACAAATCTGCTGCTACAGGACATCAAAAGCTCCAGTTTTGTCCTTCCTTCCCAGTAAAACACGCAGGCTGCACAGAGGTGATCTGTCATTGTCTCACAGGAACCTCACAAGTGCTTTACTACATGCAGTCTTTTTTTTTTCCTGATAAATATTGGAACCTATTGTCATTAGCCCAACACAGTACTCTGAGGTCCAGTAATAATTATAAAATGCAAGAAAAAAATCATACAGACTACTAGAAATACTTGGAGAACAAAACAATATCAGTGCTAGAACTTCACTAATCATAACTAGCACCCTCATGAAAACAGTAGACCAAAACTAAGTCAAAAGGAGAAAACCAAGAAAGAATGATATGGTTATTTTAGTGGTAACAAATAGCAATAGCATTAATTAAGCTTTGATGCCGCTGTAATCAGCAATCAGCATGAAAAAAAGACCAAAACCCAACCTTTCAGCTTATGTAAAATATTTGTATCTTGAAACTAATTTTCACAGTCTTTCTTCATGTAGTCAGTCAGCCAGAGTTCATTAAGAGAGGGAAAAAAGAAAAAGAAAAACATAAAAAGCCTTGAGGTATATCTGTGCCTCTCTTGTACTGGGAAGCCCAGAACTGGAGCCAGCACCCCAAGTGTGGCCTCACTGATGGCAAGGACATGGTTAAGGATGTCATAAGGAGGGCAGTGACTTAGTCCCCAAACACCAAACTACACATCAAGCATTTTTCAAGATCCATCCTGAGTAAAAATATTACACTTGTCAGTATCAACAATAATATTACACCTTTTATTTCTTCATTAAAAGGAAGCAAGAATGATTAACCTGTAGGGAGTTTATGTAATAAAAGATTATTTGGGATCTACTTCTTGATTTAAAGGCATTTGTTTACAGCTTTTACACAGATAAGAAAAGCAAAGAAAAATGCAACATTCAACAAATGGGATAGAAACCAAAACTGTACGATAGATTAAAATGAGTGTCTTTATGAAATACCTAAGCATCAGAGCAACTCATGACACTTTATTGTACATTACTGGTCACAAAAAAATTCAGGGTTTGGGTTGTTTTTTCTTTAAAGCAGGTATTAACCATATGAAGTTAATCAAGGGAAAGTGCCACATTCTGCACCTGGGACAACCCTGGCTGTATGCACAGACTGGGGAACAAAAGGCTGGAGAGAAGCTGCAGGACCTGGGGTCCTGGATCAGGGGAACAGGAGCCAGCAGTGCCCTGGCAGCCAGGAGAGCCAGCCCTGTGCTGGTGACATCAGGCACAGCATCCAAAGGAAGGGATTGTCCTGCTCTGCTCTGCACTGGGGCAGCCTCACCTCCAGTGCTGGGGGCAGTTCTGGGCACCACAACACAAAAAGACATCCAGCTGTAAAACTGCATCCAGTGGAGAGCCACAGAGATGGGGCTGCCCTGTGCAAGGCCAGGGAGATGGACCTGATGATCCTTATGGCTCCCCTCCAACACAGTATGATTCTATTTATTTTAAAAAATTACCCTCCAAAAGACTCAGTTCTGCACTGCAATTTGTTTGTTCATTCTTCTCTGACTGTATCTTTTAAGTAGTGCACTGTATAAAAAAGAACTATGTCCATTCGGCATACTCCTGTTTTATACAGTGCATTACTTAGAAGATATAAATAATACTGCCTTTAGTTTGGACATGCACCATATACACTGTAGTACAAATCTTCAGCAAATGGATTGGAGGATTTCTAAGAGACCTCATGCCACACATGTTCATGCTTCCCAAATGAACCTATCTTTAAGATTTCTAAGATACTCCTGTATCTTCTATACAACTTCAGATAAAGCTACAACTCAAGAGATAGAAATGTCTCAGAGAGCTTAGACAGTAATTGATATTTCCAGAAATGTCAGAACACTGACAATTGGTGCAACTGAGCAAGCAAACACCTCCATTTTTCCACTGTTGAAAATATCATGTAAGTCACATCAAGTCAGTTAAAGCTGGCAGCCATGACTCTGTCAACATCTGTGATTGTTTCTGATCTATTTGTTTCTGATAAGTCTGTTTTTCTAAGAGCAACTATCAATTATTAAGAATCTATTGGCACAATAAATATAAAAATACTATCACATAAAGAAAGGAGTCCAAGAGAGACTGCTATAACCTGATATACCACATGAACTGGTCACCTTTCTATTCTCACCCAGACAAAGCTTACAACAGGACATGCTTTCTTATTGGAAAACCTCTTCAATTAAACTTGACTTTAATAATCCTTTGCTCCATTGGACTCAAAGTGACATAAAACCCTTCCCCACACACACATGGCCTCCACACACACCACCCACATCACAGAGTCACAGTGACAGCAGTGACAGGTGCCAGTGCAGGAAGGGGCACACAGATATTGATCACACTTGGGGTGCAGTGCAGGAAGGGGCCACACAGATACTGATCACATTTACACCTTCTCTGCCTTCATGATCTCATCTTGAAGGACCTTTAACTCCTTCTCATTTCTCTTAAATAACACTCCTCTCAAATCCAATGTACCCAGCCTCCTACCAGCCTGATCACAGGATGAGACAAAGGTTGGAACAACTCATTACCAGCAGTAAAGAACTGCTGAACCTGGACAGAAACCTTTCCCTCAACAGCTACATTAACTTGATGTCCTTCTCCAAGGCCAATTATTTTTCAGGAAACCAAACATTAACTCATTAATCCAAGACCTTAAACTGTGTTGAATATGGCTAAAAGTGGATCAGCAATTTTAAAGGCAGTAACCTTTGTTTGCAGTAGCTTTTTAACTCACTCTAAAATCCTTTGCCTCAAGAAAAACTACCTCACAAAACTATAAACCAAATATAAAGAAGTAGCTTTATTTGATTTCTATCAACAAACCTGTTATTTAGATTATCCATCATTCTCATATTTTTAAGAAACTCTGCATTAAATCCTCCATAAATCTATTTTGGTGGCATTTAAAGCTTATTAGCATACACATTTGCATAAACAAATGCAAAGATTATGCTTACAAAAGTAAATATGACAAAATCATGGGATTGATGTCTCAAAACAGAATTTGGTGTGCTAACTAAAAATACCTCTACTAGAACATATCACATGCTTTCTTCAAGAGCTACGCAGCGATTTCTGAGACAGCACAATAATGAAAGGTGAAAAAGTTTATTTAATTCTTTCTGTGCTTCTGCTTGCAGGAGCTGGATTTGTCTGTGGTTTGGTTTTTAGTTTGTCTTTAGGTTTTGGGGGGTTTAATGAGATATTATGAGTTTAACAGACTCAGCGTGAATCTAGCTTATCTGGGTGAGGGATGGATGGAAACAACTCAAGGCACTTCAGCTGCAGCCCTGGCTCTGACTATCTGCCCACAGCTCACTGAACACCTCAAACTGGAGACTAAGTATTCCCTTAAACTGGAGACTAAGTATTTTAGCAATTTCATTGGGAATATACCAATGAATGAATTCATTGCTAAAATGAATATGCAGCAACTCTGCATATTCATTACAACTTACCCTGCCATTCGTGTTTCCAGCTGACATTGATCCTGAGGTCAGCCTGGCTCTAAAGCACACCAGGATCAGCTGGGTAAAAGTGAAAAGAGCTGACAGACCAACACAAGCAGAGCAGTGCCTGTTCTCCTGCCTGGTTCTCCCCTCATCCCCTCTGGACCCAGCCTTCTGCTCCATGCTCCCTGTCAAATACCTGCATCTAGGACAGGCACCAGCTTCAGCACTCAGCTGTACTATGTCCTCTGCAGAGTAACTACAGCAAGATTAAGGTAATCTTAACTAGCTGAAGACTTCAGAGCAACACAAAAAAACACTCCAAACTTCAAAGATTAGACAGAGCATCCATGTATAAAAGCTTTATCACAACCTCTCTGTAACAGTCAACAGAGCTTTTGTTACATTTCCATCAAACAGTTAATGCTATGAATAACTAGCAGTGTATTTTAATCAAAGCTTCATTACTTTCTTAAAGCTTAATAGAGAGGACTACCTAGTTTTGGTGATCCCTATTCAAAGGTGGGGTTGCTTAGCTATTTCCCAGTTCAGGGCATAATCATATTACACAATACACCTTGCAATCAAAGTAGCAGTTTCTCAAAAGCCACAGAAATTTATATTTAGATGCCTTCAGGTAGCTAAGAGCTCAAGCCCCACAGTACTGCAGTGCTTACTGAGTAAGACAGGATTTAAATAAATTCAAAGTATATTTAGAAATTTTACTCATATCCACAGGGCTTTGGCGACCCTAGTCAGACATAAATGTATATAATCCTAAATGACAGTCTAAAGCAACCTGAACTGACAGAAGTTAAGAATAAAATTGTGTTCTTACACAGTGACAAAGGAAAAAAATAGCCTTTTTCAAGAAGATACAATTCTAAGCAGTGTCAACTAGCAAAAGGACATAATTAAAAATACAGCACAAGCAAGGACGCATAGGCAAAGCGTTGCTGTCCTTGCCTGTAAACACTGAATCACTCAGGATTTCAAGGAACCTGTTCCCTTTATAGCAATCCCAACCTGAATGGTCAGGGTACCATGCAGCAGCTGAGTCAAGACCTGAGTGTCCTTCTCAACTCCTTATGATCTTAGGCTGATGATGCAATGAAGTTGCATGTTCATTATACATCATCAGAATTAAAACTGCAAAATTTAGGTCGCTTTTGTCTCAAACGTTTTTAAGAAGTCATTGATTTTTAGTACCTTCAGGAAATTAAAGGCAGTTTTTAAAAGGCTGTCATATAAAGCCATGAGAACACTACAACATGGTTTCTTCAACTGCTTTCCAAGCTAGAACTGTTTTACCATTATGTCAGATCCTCCAGATTGCAGTGTCACAATCACAGGTGTCTTTTCACTAAGATTCCCCAGCATGTAGGGTAAGAAAAGACAATGAATCAAAACAGCAAAGACTATGGCCTAAACTACTAATTTAATTGCAACATTTGTGTCACACAAATTCTCTTAAAGCATTACACTTGCTCATGCACAGCTAGAAAATAACTTTAACAAAGGAAAAAACCCTTCACTTTCTAGGTTCAACATCAAAATACAAGTTATCATGAAATTGCTGACATTATTTGATACTTTAAGTTTAAATGAGCCCAATAAACAGCTCAGTCACATTGGACATCTGCTGTTGACTATAAAGCTGCTTCTGCCATGACATAACAAACCAAGGGAGGCATCCCTGTAATGCAGATACAGCACTAAACTTACCAGGAGTCATCCTTCCTCCACTTAAACCCAGGGGAGTTCTGCCACTGACACAAACAACAGGATGAAAGCCTTAAAGCAATGCTCCAAAAGATCCATTATTTTTCATGCGCATTACACACAAACCATTAAACTTACATCTCCTTTTTGAAAGGAAACATCAAATACTAAGCAATGCACTCACTGTTCTTTTTAAGTACTTTATCTATGCATCAGTGTTCTCAAAACAGCATTTCAGAATTGCAAATTGTATACCAGCAAACGAGAAACTTGTCACTCCTAGGTTCACACCTTTCAGTGGAGGTTTGATCATGTTCCTTCCAGCTACCCTTAAGAAAACCTGCAGCAGTCAAAACCAAAGGAAAAAAGTTAAGAAAACCCCAGATGCTGCTAACTTAAGGACAACATCCAGCAACCAGCATGAAAAGTTCTCTTCCTGCCATGATGGCTGAGCCCTGAGCCCCCCCAAGTTGTCTTGCAACCCAAGGTCATACCAGCTTGTAAATAAAGGAGTTAAAATACTTGCCCTACACAAGGAAGACAAACTCTGCTAAAACTGGATACCAGCATTCCTAGGATGCTGCTCATGAGAGTTGATTTTCAAACTCTGCCCTTCACCCCATCTCAAAAAAAACCTCAAAACTCCACAAAAAAAAACCTGAAAATCCAAAATGCAATCACCCCCAACCAACCAATTAAAAAAATTAACATCTCTAAATGCCTGTTTCAGGAGGTTTTAGTTTGTTTGAGAAGGCCTCTCTCATCAGGCCAACAGCAGCCACAGTAAGACATGAATCAGACCCTGGGCTGCCTGCTGGCTATCACACCCTGCTCTTGCACACAGATGTACCAAAAATGCCATATATGATCACACACACACATCTGGCAGCAAGGCCAGGCCTGCCTGTGCCTCCAGTGAGATGTCAGATGCTGAAAGGCTGATACCTTCTTATTCTGCCCACAAACCACTGCACCTGATCCTATTTCTGCTGCTGCCTATTTCCTTATAAGCTCATGCCCTTCATCACTCACCAGCCAAGCAGGAAGGTACCACAGACAAAGCACAGAGCATGCAGGGAGAACCAGCCTTCAAAACCTGACGGGAAGCAGACTCAGCCCAGCCATCCTCACCTCCACAGCAAACCCACCAGTGCCCGAAGCAAGAAGTGCCACACAAAATAAGTGTCACCCAAGGAATGCTTGTTTTGTCAGTGAATTACACAACTGTCTGAAACAGCAACAAAATGTAGACTATCGGGATTTCTGAGATTTATTTCAGGTTGTGGTAAAAGAACATTGCGTGCAGTGGTTGCAACTGCTGCAGACATTTCTGGAATCTCTGCCTTAAGATCTGTGCAACTTTCCTAATTTTGTTACATAACTGGTTCATGACTTCATTTGAAGAAACTTGACACAGTCTCAGAGATACCTTACTCATAAAAATAGGGGAGAAGGGACTCTGAACTAATAAGTCCAAGATTCTACACCTCTAATAATTTACTTTTGAGTCTGCTGCAGTATTTATCAATTAGCGAGAAGCTTCCAATATTTAAATATATTCTACTGATCAATAGAGTAGGAGAGTCCAAGCACTTAAAGTGAACTATACTCAAGTTAATTTTGCCTCTTATCTACTATAAGAAGTTTCAGTTTCAAAATTCTCACCAAATACAGTAATTGCTGTCAGCACACTGGATCTACAAGCCATTTCTGAAAATGCTGTACCGTTAAAAAAAAAAATAAAAACCAGCACATGGTTGATCTGAAGTTCTTTCTATTCCTGTTTTTTGTACTGAATACTACACACACACACACATACATATCCCATTAAACACTGGCAACCTCATACTGAGAAATCCCTGGAACATTGCATGTACACATCTGTTCCTACAACTGTAACAATTTTATTAAAGAACAGAATTTCTATAAACACCAAGTTTTGTTTATATATATACATATATATATATGTATGCCCTAACAATTATTGGAAAAAAAACCTCCAAACAAATATAGTCACCACCTTGAAATAAAATGTCTTTCTTCTTTCTTGAGATTCCTAAGGCAATAATAAATCTTGCTCACTGGAAATACTGATGTGTGTTTAGGAAGACATGTTTATCTGTCACCAGGCACTGCACAGCAGAATTGTGGCTTCTTGATGACTACAGTCAGGAAGCTGAAAACCACTCCTAAATCACCAAGTTTGCATCATGTTCCACAAATAGTTATCCAGCAAGTTTTTGAAGCAGCTGAGGCATGAAGTGGCTGAGCTGTCGGAAAAAGCTGCTGCCTCTGGTAACAGCCACTGCTCTGTAGGAACACAGTTGAAAATGCTGAGCAGGAATTTTTAAATTATTTTTTAAAAAAAAAAGGTCTCTGGAATGATCCAAGCAAGGAATTGCAGAGTAACAAGCCTTACATGTGTATCTGGCAAGGTCCTCAAAACAATCATTAAAAATGGAACACCATTATACCCGAAAGTCTATCTGATAGGGTCTAATCAGCAGTTTCTACACAGGAAGATCATGTCTCGGTCTATCAGTATTTCTGGACATGTCAAACTAACTGATAGACAAGAGCAAGTGGTAGAACATATGTGGACTTTCAAAGAACCTTTGGAAAGATGTCAAAGGCTTCCAAAGAGTCTGTTATCTATGAAAAGCAAACACAGATTAAAACCAGCCAAAACCCTGAAGAAAATATGGAATCAACATTCTTCATTGCAATCAGCTAACTGGATAATGAAGATTAACAGCAGCATCCAGCCTGCATAGAGCAGGCTATTGATCACCGACTGATACTGGTGCCCAGAAACTCCTTGGATCACAGACCACTGGGCTGCAGCTCTTCCATTCACTGCCAGTCCAAGGCAAAGTGCACACAAATCCCCAATCTCCTTCATGCAGAACCATCCTAATCCTGAAACCAAACAGACTAAATCTTCCTAGCCTGGTGTCTCTGTGTTCCACTAGCTTTCACACACCTCAGCACGCAGCAGTGACAGGGCAGACATTCAGTATCCAGTGTGCCTGGTGACTCCCTTGGCCAAGGATGAGAGCATCCAGAAATGGCAAATTCCAGGTAAGTTTTCCAACAATCAGACTTTTACTAGAGAGATGAACATAGACACCATGTCATTGCTTATCAGGCCCTGACAGATATGGGCAGCTTACAAAGAGATGCCTCACATTCCTGCTGGCTCCCAGAGCTCCACAGAAGGAACTTCAAGCAGACACAATCTCGCCCTAAAGACACATCCACACAACTGATGGCAAAGGTCAGGATGCCCTGTAAGGCTCCACAAGGGTTTTAACCACTCTAAACCAGCACCACCACAGGACACTGTGTTAGTGACCAGCTGCCAGCCCCAGAGCCCATCACACAGGGCACAGATCCCAGG